GTCTGACGGACCGGACTCCCTGACTTCAAGTTAGTCACTCCTCGCAGTCACCTTCAACCTCCACCCGAAGTAACCTGTAAGTAAGCACCGACCTTGAGAGAAGTCTTTGTGCCACTCAGGCAAGGGTTGGTCTCGAAGACAAAGGTCGGATCTCGGATGTTTCGGAGATGTTCATACCTGTAAAAGGAGACATCTCTATAAAATGCGGTCACGTCCTCGGGAATGAAATTTAAGATCCATAACAGATTATCTACTCCCAGTATCACCCACAGCAGTTTACTGGTGAGTCGTGTCCTCGATAACTTATGAACGGAAGACGAAATAAAAGAAACAACTCACCAGTTATCTTTGAAAAGGTACGTTCGATGACCCTGAAATGAGTTTCCGTGTAAAATAATTGACCAGTTGAGAATTGTCTTTGTCTCGCGGAAATACATACGCAGGAGGTGAAGTGGTGTATTATGGTCGGGATTAGAAACATCACCAACTTTACTGACCAACAAAACTCCACGACCGTCTTTCTCCTCTACCACTCTAGAATTGAGGGAGCGTGCAGGACTCTGGTGGAAACTCGTCAGCCCGGACCCGGGCCGTCCCCATGCTCCAGTCGACCTCCAACCATTTCTTGTTGTTCGCACCTGGCGGACGGAGGGTCTTGCACCAGGGTTCACTCACACGTGTAAGTGTGACGGTTGAACCACGAATATAATAGGACAAAAACTGGAACCCCTCTACAAACTGAAGTCGTCCTACATGTACATGAGTCAACCGTTACTTCGGTTTTGTACACAAGTTTCTAACGTAATGTCTTGTAGTATGAACAGGTACAAAACTTCACTAGAAGACTTAGAGAATGGCAGGTCCGAGAGTTAGCGCTTGAATCTACGGTAGTGTAAGAACGTGGAATATAAACATCCGACTTTCAGTAATAATGAGAGGTGACATTCACAATAAGGTAGGTGGTCAAAAATTGTGGTGTATAGCAACACAGAAGACATAGACGCATGTAATAGACCTTTACATTAAAGTGAGTGCATAATCCCGACCAAAATATCGAATCCATCGTGAAATGTTTTCCTGATGGGAATATTTCCCAAATGACTTATCAAACATTAATTAATTAATTAATCAACACTTGTGAAAAAAAAATTTTTAAGGTAATTATTCGAAATATTCTGTAACTCTATTTGTCCCATTGACACTGGCCATTTTCCCTCGAATACATTCACAGTTTGTGGTAGTGGCGTACATAACCTACTAGTGATTGTAATATGATGACTTTCCCACACACACAAAAATTCAAATTTTGTAAATACTCTAAATGTAAGTGCGAATGATATGGTAAAAAAGTGTCTTCGTTTCATTCTAAGTTTCTTAGGTGCGGTTTTGTAGAAAATAGTGTGATAACTTATTTTAGTCCTAAGTTTTTATAGACTACAAATCATACTGACTATGTCTATAATTTGTAATTTTCGGAAAAAGTCTGTATTTAATTTTCGAGAACCATTCTGTATTACCATAAGTCGTGATTTTTCAAACATAGTAGGAACTGTTCTAGGTTCGTCAGGTAGCCCACTCGACTCGGTTCTGCCTGGTAAGTCTTGGAACTCCACAAGATGTTGAGGTTAAAAAGTTTTCGAGTTTGTCACGACGGTTTTAATATTTGACTGACGATGTGTTAATGTTATTTACGAAAATATATAAATATAATCTAGCACTAGAAACCGCAAAGACCAATAATAACTTGTGACGACGAAATCAACAAACTGACGATTTTAGGAGAATCAAAAAATCGGCTATAGGCACCCCAACCCTCGACCTAGAATAGTGGAAAATTTATGGACTCACCTTCAAAGTAGTGAACGATTATTACGATGAAGGACTAATTGTACAAATAGTCTCCCTGTCCACCTAGAACGAGCAAAGAGTGTGATCAGAGGCTGAAAACAGAAATTGAGGAGTAAGCTTCTGGGTAAAAGAAGGAAAGGTCCATAGCATGACAGGTTCCAGGGCACGATGATTGTTTGTTACTTAGTTTTAGTAGTGTTTAATGGCATGTTAACAACGTTTAGTACAAAGTTTTACTAAAATGAACAAATAATCCAACGTAACAATATTGTATATATTCCTATTAATATGTCATTACGGTTTAACTAAATTTTTTTTATTTCATAAAAGACGTGTCTTTCGGGTCAGATATGTGAGGCTGGTAATCCTTGACCATGATGAAGAGGGTCTGTGTTTATGAGTTTAGTTTATCAAATGAAGTTTATCAATTCGTAACCACAAGTTACAATGTAAATAGACTTATGGTTAAAACACATGTAATGTATGCTTACTAGTGCCACACCCAAGCAAGGAGCTATACTGACACTTCAATGCAGATCTGGAGTTATTACTTAGGTCGAGTTGGTTGGTATAGCATTAGATTCATATAGAACCTTCTCATAATTATAATAAAATTATATGTGTGGTAGAAATAACACTCCAATTAAAGTGATGTGAAGCGAGAGCAATGAAAACTGTACATCGACAGTATGTATTAGCTCGTATCACTTAAATTTACTTGGAAATCGCTACGTATTCACATGATGATGGATTATGTTATAGAGATGAATGTTCCCACTTGGAAAAAAATGGCTTAATTGTCTTCGGCAATAAGATGTCATAATAGGTGAATTACGAATGTGAGAGATAATCAAAATTGTACCTCCGATGCTAATCCGTAGTAATCGGTGTCTACATCATATGGAACGAATGTACGACATTGGGTTGGTAATGAGGATGCTGTGCAACTACCGAATATCCGAACATGCGTATACTAAGTAACCCGACTTTGCGGAGGCAGTCCGCCGTTTATTTGTACGAGATGAAACGTCGCTCGGGTGGCGCCTCTTTCGATGCGAAACGAGGTGTTACATCAAGCCGCTTTAGCATTGCAGTGGGGAAGGTTTTCACTTACCCGTCTCGCAACTTCGCCGTTTGCGTGCGCGGGCACACTTCCCCGGCAATTGTAAGTAATTGCAAATCGACTGATTTTTGGATTCGTTGTATATTTATTTATAGTAAAGGTTTGAATGGCGTTTCTGGGCGTAAGTACGTGGCAGACTAACAATTGCGCTCTCATCAGCTTGTTATCATGGCTCGTATATCCGTACTTTTTATCCAGTGCTTCGCCATGGTTCGTGTTGTTTGTGCACGGTTTCAAGTCACCAACAAGGTATGCCTACTCGACTCGTCCGACGCAGAGGACATCGTAGTGTCTCGACGATCGTCTGCTTGTTCTTCGATTGTCGTCCTTCATTTGACCGTATGGGACAGTGAGTACACCTGTGCGGGATAAATACGTTGTGCAAATTCCGAATACTATTATGTTCTAATATTACATGCCATGAGGTACTCTAACTTACACAAAACGTGAAAATGTTCCGAGGGAAAACGTCCACACTATTTCACAACTATGTGAGTATTATTTACCAGTATTTCTCAACGGTGCCCTGTAGTTTTACCTACCCCCCCCTCTCAGTTGAGACACTTTGTGGTTACATATTCTCCGATTCAGTATGACGTTTATCACTCGAAAACCACCTACCATACGTTTGTTACAATCTGACCAATATTTAACCAAGAATTACTAATATTTCCACAAATGTTGATTTTTTTATAATATTGGGAAAATACTAGGAAATATTCCCATCAGAGATAACATTCACCCAGGCTAAAGCATATAAACGTCCTCTCTCCATCCGAAAACCGGTTGGGTGTAAAATACTTTACAGATGCAAAACAAGTCCACACTATTTAGACGGTCATAAGTGAGGGTAATCTCTTCATTTTTCCTTCATTAAGATTAGTTTGTTGATGATTGCCGGTAACTAGTGTACGATTCGATTTCCGCCGATTAACAAATCTCCCTTTATATATGGTCACTCTCATGTCAACAACATCGATACTTTAACAATGCAATCACCACTTTCTTTCTTCCTTTTACTAGACTCTATTATTCGGGTATGGAACATTGTCAATGTAGACGTCAGCTTTATTGGATTGTGAACTGCGTCACGACGTCTAGCTTCCCGCACACTATTCACTAATTCATACAGTGGGTAGACAGTTCCCTGACGTACTTCCAAAACAGTGAAGTCTGAACGGTTCTGCCAGTTAAACTAACAGATATACTCCGAAATACAACGACCCGCGTGGTGAATCTTTCCAGATCTTCAAAGACTTTGTTGTCAATGTAGTGGAAAAGTACCTCATTGACTCCAGTCGGCACGGGCTGTAGGGTCATCTGGACTAGTTTTATGGATGTGGTCTCCATTTGACCATGCTCATAGAAACAAAGCTGGCATTCCTGAGGCAATTTAAATTTTTCATGGCTCCACTTAAAATAAAAACAACAATTTTTTCTGTCCAATTTAAATTAAACACTTGAAAATACATTCATAGTGACTTAACATTTCGTACAAACCTGAATGTTTCCCAAAGGTGCTCTGACAGCCCATAACTGACAACTGGCAGCTACAAAGCTTCGTATTATATTCAAGTCCTAACGAGACTAGCAAAGTCATCTTTTAAAGAATCACGAGAATCTGATCATTATTTGCATTCCAATGTTTGCTGGTAAATGTTGGATTGTGATGATTCACCAGCCCCTTTAATGAAGAAACAGCACGTTTTCAAAAACACGGAATGAAAAACAATGAGTAGAAGGTAGGAAGACAAAGCAATTAACTTATCCCTACATTGTAAAAAGGGTGACACTAATATGAAATACAGACAATGTGTGGTTAATGAGTAAGAAGATGCAAATATATTGCTAAAAATGATTGCCTGGCTCAGCTTTAAAAACGGTGCTGCTTTGTTACCTATGAAATCTAAATCCACCAGCTTTCGAAACAATGTCGTTGAATCCAATTAGGGTTTGATTTCACCTGAGTTCACCTCACATGTATACTGAAGGAGAGAGACATTAAATACGGTGAAGGGTACACAGCTACCTGTAACCTGAGCTCCACAGCAGCCCGTCCCTCCGCTGCACTGCTCCCTCAGACTCGACAGCTCGGACTCCAGCATCTCCAGCCTGCTCAGGATGTCCTTGATATCGGGCAGCTGGTTGTCGCAGCCGCACGCCTGCTTGGGGATATTGATGCGGTGGGTGAAAACGATCTGATTGTCTCCGTCCATGGTGTGCTCCATGTGCTCGCTGTTCTGCATGTCCATCGGGGCACTCTTTTGTTTGAGATCGGTATCACCAGGGGCATCGAGTTCCACGGAGCAGAGGGACGTGGAGGGGACGTTGATGTTGTAGACGTGGTTGAACACCACCGGCTGGTCGGAGTGGGGCAGGGTGATGTTCTCCTGGGTTTGCTTCGGACTCAGAGCATCTCTTCGGTGGCGGATGACCTTTTTGACCAGGCCACCAGTGGACATCTCGAGGAGCAGGGTCACGGTCACAAAGCCCAAGAGGAAGCCTTTAATGCCCATGATGACACCCTGACACTCAGACAACAGTCTATTCAGGTATCAATTAGGTCTTCTTGTCCTTAGTCCTAGAGTAAAATAAAGAACAGACAGAAAGAACAAATTAAGAAGATCACTTTCCATGCTCATTACTGTGTTCTTTACGTCTTTATGTGGAAAAAGGCCCAGTAAAATCAAAAGCGTTATATTTTCAGTGTTGGAGTTGGGAATTTAAATAGAATTGTTTCAACTCATTTTAAGTGTTATTCAACTCCAAGATAGTTATTATTGAAAACGAGTTGGTGTTGAAAAAGGGAGTCAATTGTTGAATTCTCCAAACAAATCTAGAGTGTTGATTTAATTCAATAGTTACAATCTCTCTTTCTGTGGGTCACTGGCTGTCGCTCTGTTGGGTGTGGCCGTGACTGTGACTGTGTGTGCGCAGTCGAGGCGGGAGACGAAGTCAGAGGAGCATACCACCACATTCTATATGGAGGATAAACTGAAAAAATTGTAAGTACTTCAGTCAATGTTTCGACCCAGTAGCCTCGTACAGGTATTTATTTATTTAGCTGATTAATAAACCAGCGCTTATCTTCAGCTACATACATACTAATGATTTTAAATTGGCTGCTGTCTTCGCTCCACGTGCTAGTAATATTTGCTGCTATCATTAGCCAGGGTTGTTTAGCCTAACCTCTTTGTAATATCATTACAAAGTCTGTCATTGGGGTGTTTAGCTCCATGTATTAGTCAGGGGCGGTACTAAGGGGGGGGGGGCAGTGCCCCCCTAACACTGACCTCGTACCCCCTGTGGCCCCCCTAAAAATTGAAAAAAGTGAAAAAAATGAAAAATGTATGATTTATTACACGATTTATTGAATGACGGAATAGGCGGAACTAACGTTATTCGTCATTCTAGTCGGACCCATTAGAGCGGTGCACTCAGGACCCATTAGAGCGGTGCACTCACTTTCACTGTCCGGCNGTAACGTAGTAACGCACCCATTTAAATCACAGTAACTATAACGGCGTTACTGAATGGGAATAGGTAACTAGTAACGTTATTAGTTACCGCAAAAGGTAGTTGCGTTACAGTAACACGTTAGTTTGTAACGCGTTAGTCCCAACACTGGTAGCGAGTAAAACTCTAACACAGAAAAGATCTGCTGCCCCAAAACGCCTCGTTGGAGATTTCTCATCTTCCATTGTTTGCTTCCTGGGTTCTGTGACGTGTGAACACCCAAATCAACAACAAATTACCGGATTGGTCCATTTGGGCCAATCCGGTCATTTGTTGTTGATTTGGGTGGTGCACCTCACACACCAGGATCCCTTGGTTAACTAACAGGGAGTCCCCATTTACTTGCATAGAGCTCCCTGAACGATGGTAATAGACGAGTTGGTCTGCTCTCCGCAGACCCATTCTCAAAGCGTTATAAACCTTTTTCTTACTGAATATCAAGCCACACTTATTGTTTTTACTCCGGCTGTGATTGTTTGTGTGTGCTCAGGATGAGTTTAGCTTGTTCTCGCTGTATCTCCGACCCGGAAGCCTGTCCGCTCCTCGCAGCAGATCGCAGCAACGAGCCTCTCAACATCCCGGCCAATCAGAGCACAGTGGGCTCATAGGGGGGGGGGGCAGGAGCTCCAACAAGCCGTTTAGGACAGAGAGGGAATACACATACTATACAGAGATGCTGTATGAGAAACCAATGTGAGTTTGGAAAATTGCACAATGTAAATCTACTCTAGTAGACCACAACAATGGAAATATGATCAGTAGAAACGGCCATGACATGGGAGCTCTAACTATCGCTATAACTGCATCCTCCTCGTCAGGTCCGGAGGCTTGTTCTATTTTCCAGTACTATATGACTATGAGCAGGTGCATTTCAGTTTAGCATAATTAGGTTAAAAATTATGTAATATGCTGCAAATTGCTTTTTATGTTTATTTAAAATGAGGCTAAAAGGAAGAGCGCACACTGCACTGTGGTCGATTTAATTAGACCTAGTGGAGGCAGTTTATTCCTGGCATCTTTGGACATGAATTCCATATAAAGTTTTAAAATATTGTAATTTTAGTGTCGTTTCCAGGAAAAGTCCTTTTAGAATTTACAAATAGGCCTACAGACCTTATTTTTAAGCTCTTATCTACAACTTCTGTCCTCAACCCCTCCCATCGGACAAGCACCGGCATATACACACGGTACAAACAGTAACCTGTATTATTCATTCATTGACATCCATATTGTGTGATTTTGCCTGTGTTCTTTGCAGACTGCTGGGCATCTCAGGCCTTTTGAGATGACATACAAGGAATAAGTTGCTCACTTCAATGTCAGCAAAGCTTCATACTGATGTAAAGAAATGTTGCTAATTGTTTAGCCCCGTCGTCACCACTAAGCCCTCCACTTCCGTGATTGGTGGTTAAACCAGAATGCTACTGTAAGAGGGAAAGCAGGCAAATGTTGCTAATAGTTTAGCCCTTTATTAATCACTAAGCCATAGCTAATGTTCACTCAAGACACTAGCCACAGTTTTGTGCAGAAGTTACACTGTTAGCAAATGTTCTGAAACACTTTCATACAATATTGTCAGGCTCTCTTATTGATTATATTAGCCATTTGTTAACTACTAAGCCCTAAACCTCTGTGCTGCAGCGGTTATTGGTGGTCTCAACCAGAATGCTACTATAGAGAAGAGGAGCTAATGCTGCTACTACTTTAGCCCTTTAATAACCGCTAAACCATAGCTACCATAATTTAATCATGAGGCTAATGTTTGCTCAAGACATGAGCCACAGTTGTGTGTGTGTGGAAGATATTCTTTAACCCGGAGGGATTTGCATGACCATTTGCATTTGTTGAACAGCCGTTCGTAATGTTTTTCTACTATGACATGTGATTGTGTCATGTCACAGTCTCTAAAGCTTAAGAAAACAGAGTCAAAAGGAGGTGCAGAAGTCTAGTTCTCTCTCAGATCACCACATTACAATATGCTACAATTATATTATGGATTTTTTCCCAATGACGCCAAAAGTATGTTGCCTACCCCAGTTTTGATCTAGAGTTAACCTGCACATCTCTTTCTTTGTACTTATTGAACATTGAATTGGTTGAAGAATAGGTAGTATTTTAGTCGACCAAGAATTCCTTTGGTTCCATTCAGCTATGTCATCAGCATTTATTTCATGTAAAAAGCAAAAAGGGGAGATTCATCTCAGTTTTATGTCACCAACTGTGCAAACTGAACGTCTCATGCGTTTTCCAACTAGTTTGAAGAACTACTGAGTGAAACCAAGAAGACTTTTATATGTATTGCTTTCCAAATCCCTCATGCTCTATACGTGAGGGAAATCTCAGCGACAACTGTCTTCTTTTAACCTCTGTCATCTAAAACTATGTTGAGAAAAAAGAATCATGGTTCCAAGAGCTGCCTTGTCATCTATATCTTTGGACAGCACGGAAGATTCAGTCTTTAATTACAAGTCCTTTTTCCTCTGCCAGTTGGATTTTCTTCCTTCATTTTGTTTATTTTTTCTGGCGTTTTCATAAGATTGACTCTCAAAGTGTTTTTTCTACCATTTCACTAGACCTGCGAGTGTCCTTGAATGCAAGCTGCTTGTATGAATGAGCCATGTCATTTATGGGATAAAGAGCAGGAGGAGAGACGTTTAACCTTGCACTCCTCTCGTCTTTTTGCAATCTAACCTCACGCGCTGTAGGTCTCAACTTGCTCAGTCTGAAATGTAACACTCGGTGCATAGCAATGGGTCTCTCCTCAGTTGCTGCTGGCCCATGCAATCCCTCTCAGTCATTCTTCATTACACAAGAGATGGAGAGGCTCATCCTATCCCCTATTGCGCTGCCTCCTTTACCAGCAGCGGTATTTAGATTGTCTCATCTCTGTGGATTTCATCATGAGAAAGTTGTTTGAGTTTGGAATGCACATATAAGCTCTTTTCTTTTTCTTTAAGTAGTATTCAAGAAACCATTTTCAACTGATTAAAAAACATTCAAAATTTAAAAAAAGTAGAGCATAGTGCAATTTTGGGGACTATTCAGCTGTGGGTTAATACACATTTGGTGCTTGTAGTGAGTGTTTACCGAGGTACAATAGTGGAATGGAATTCAATCAAAGTAAACTAAATGGGCCATGTTCTTTGTAATGAAGAAACATGTCAATAACAATACAGTTCTGTGTTAAATATCCCAGACATTCTTCATCATCCTCAGGGGAATATGAATGAGTGAACCAAACTTCATGGCAAGCCATCCAATAGTTTGACATATTTCAGTCCTGACTGACGATGTGGACTAACCGACCTACATTGTAGTTTATTGTTTATTTAATGATCCAAACATGTATATTACTCTAATTTCTAGAAGTCTTGTTTTTAGACAATGTATAAAAAGATACAAAAACTTTTCACGTAACAGACACGGCAGTACAATCAAACATAAAAACCCAAAAACTGAATCTAGCACAGTCAAAAAATAAATGTATTAAAGAATTCTAGGACATTAAAATGAATGTTTGACATCGAAAAATAAGGTATTTTCTCATTCTGTTATTTGGCAAGACATTTCTTTGTATGCTTTTTGAAAGTTTACTTTTTATGGACGGCAGATATATCTTTGAGCAGAAGTTTCCAGAATGCCATTGACTGGTGTATGTACAATGATTTGTAAATGGAACAGGAAGGCTCTTGTGCTGTAACCAGGCCAAATGTATCTGATGAGCCAAGTCCGTCTGGTTGGTACTAATGATGCTCTGCAGTAGCATAAGGAGATACAAAGACATGTTTTGTTCAGCAACGCCAGATGTACACATTGACTCTTCCTGTATGAGTAGCCAAATACCAGGAAAGCTGCTTTTTTTGGGAAATGTGCAACAATTTTGGATCATTTTGATGCCGATGACCAGTCTACAGAGCAGTCTTCTAGTTGAGATAGAATACAAAACAATAGCTGATTTTTACGCCACAGTATAGCTCAGTTTGCAGAGCTGGCAGTCTGGCACAGGACCATTCATTCTATCTCTACAATAAAGGCACTGGTTGCCCAAAACATTGCTGTTT